CCCCCCCTTGACCTAAAAGGGTGCAGAATGGGGGCGACCCCCAAGGAATGCAACTGACCTCCCTCCTCATTTGGGTGCATACATACACACACATAGGCATGTATGGGAATATTGTGTGTGTGTGTATACAGTATACACACACATACACACATGCATGCATGTATGCCCCAATGTAGCCTCTCCTATATGCATGCATTTTAGGCATGTATGGGAATCCCTTTATATAGTACGTATATATTATATATATTATATTATATATTATATATTGTATATATGTATGTGTATACTATATGTATATTAGTATATACATACACACACATGTAGCCTCCCCTCTCTGCAAGCCTTGCCTTGGCCTCCTTGTGCAGCATGTGGATTTGTGGATTTTGTGCCTTCTTCCTCAAAGGCGGCTGGTGCCAGGGGAGAGAGTGTGCCCTTTTCTGGTGCTTTCAAGGGGTGGGTGTGTTCCAGAGAAGCCAGGAGCAAGGGATGAATAAAATAGGTGCCCAAAAAAATGTAAAGCCAAGGAAATCTTTCTCTCTGTCTCTCTTTAAAAAAGGAAAAGGAAAAGGCAGCAACCTTCCTTCCTATCTCATCAATTTGCACACAGTCCAGATGTGTTCACAAATGCACAACACACATCTGGGCACATGCAGATGTCAAAATGAGCACTCAGGTGTAGCCGTCCTTCCGTCCATCAGGGGAAAAAGCAATGGCTTCTGGTGTTATTTATTTTAATGTATTTACTGGTGGAAAGGAGGCTTTGGAAATACTGGAGGATTTGGGTCTTTGTTCTCGAGTATTGCCACTCTCTTTGATTACAAACCCAATGGCTCTCTCTGGCTTTTCATTCCTCATTTTTAATTATCCCCCATCCTCAGAAACCATGGCTTCAAATAGTATTCCCATGCAAAATAAAAATAAAAAAAAATGAAATGAAATAGTGTTTATAAACACATATAGAAGGCATTAATAAGGTTACCCATTGCTGTTTGTTACCATTCCCTTTATCCCGACATCCTATTGGTCTTTTGGTGGCTCCAAAATATAAGCTAGTGGGTTATTCTAAATGGGATTAGGCTCTCTGATGGCATGTGGGTTTAAAATAGATATCCTCCAGTGATCAGCCTGGGAAGGGATTGCTCTCTAGCATCCCGTAGCATGCAGCCAAGTGGTTTATTTCATTTGCAGGAAAGCTTTTTCCAATAATGGTGGTGACAGTGGAAGGGAAGGGGAGAAACCAGCCGGATTCAGGCAGTTGTGGGATTATGTGTGTGTCCATTGTTGAGCGGCATCCTTGCAGTGTGCAAGGAAGGAGACAGAGGATGCCTTGGAGGAAGGCAAAGGAATATCCAGTTCATTGGTACTCACTCGCCTTGTTGCATTTTTCCTTGCCCAAGATGGGGGATATGCTCTCCTCTTCCCCATCTCTCCTCCCCTTTCCTCCATGGGATGGAGACCTGTGAGGATAGGGGAAAAGGTACACCTAAAAAGGCATTTATTTATATTCAAGACCTCCCCCTTCCCTGGAAAAGAGATGAATGGAGGAGGAAGAGAGAGAGATGCTCAGGCAATGTGTGCATGAGATAGATGCCAGTCCTTGGACACAGCCCTGGTGCCTAAGGAAGGCCATCATTCCTGCAAGGAAGGAAGGAAGGAAGGAAGGAAGGAAGGAAGGGTCACATGCCGAGGGATTTAGGAAGGGGACATGGCTGGGAAGGATCTGCTGGTGCCTAAAAAAAGAAAAAAGGGGAAAGAAAGCAGCCAGGAGGTCCTGAGCGCTCATATGGACAAGGCTGGCTTTGTTGTGTTTTTCAATGAAGCCCAGTCACCCAGATTTGTAAGATTAATGTGAGCTTTCCAGGACTTAAAGATCCGAGGCTGGTCTTTGGTGCCAAGCGTAAGCCCTAAAGGTTGCGGAATCGTAGTGGAGAGTACCTCTGAGCAGACACAGAGTGCCTCCCCCCCCCCTCCATGAGGACTGGAACAGGGGACTTTCCAAACTGTGGTCTAGCCAGGCATTGTGGGTATGTGTGCATGCCTTCAAGTCACTTGTCAATTTATGGTGATGTCATACACTTTGGAGGGTTTTCTTAGTCCTCAGAGGTGGTTTTTCCACTCCCTTCCTCTGAAATAGAGCCTAAAGCCCCTGGTATTCCCTGGTGGTCTCCCATCCAAGTACCAACCAGGGCTGACCCCGCTTAGCATCCTACATAAGACAGGATCTGGCACCTTCAGGGTATAGGCTCATAAGGACCTTCAAGTTGCCTGTCAATTTATGGTGACATTCTGAATTTTGTAGGGTTTTCTTAGGCAAAGCATACTCACAGGTGGCTTTGCTAGTTCCTTCCTCTGAAATAGACAAAGCTAAATAAAGCACCTGGTATTCATTGGCCTTCTCCCATCCAAGTACCAATCAGGGCTGACCCTGCTTAGTATCCAAGATCAGATGGGAACTGGGGCCTTTAGGGCAGTGATTCCCAAACTCTGGCTTTCCAGATGTTTTGGACTTGAGCTCCCCAAATCCCAGGCCATTGGCCAAAATAGCTGAGCTTTCTGGAAGCTGAAGTCCAAAATACTTGGAGGACCAGAGTCTGAGAATCATGGCTTTAGGGTTTTCAGGGTCATAAGTACCGTACTTTTAGGCTGCCTGACACCATCGGTTCCTGCGCCAGCCCTAGGGATGCCATTGTGATCACTTTTGGGTGGCAAGCCAAGACAT